AACCCTAAACCCCAAACCCTTTAAGCGAAACTTCCGGCCCCAGGGGATTTTGGGGTTTGGGGTATAGCATAGGGCTTAGTTAGCCCAGGCGGCGTCCTAGAAGGGGTTCTATAAGCGACACTAGAGGGGTTTTGAGGTGTGGGGTTTCGGGATTAGAGTATTCTTTAAGGGCATAAGGGCTATGTAACAGGTTACTATAACTAAACCCTAAACCCTATAAACCCTAGAAGCCCTAAACCCTATAAACCCAAAACCCTAAACTAAAACGGTAGGGTTTCAGCAAGGGCCATAAACTCCCTGTTTTGCCCAGGCAGTACAACCAGAACAAGTCGGTTGCGCAGGCGGGCGGACGAGGTTTTGAAGGATCATTAGGGTTTAGGGTTTAGGGTTCAGGACCGCCCGCATCTTTGCAGAGGCCGTGGCGTTGCATCTCGAGCAGACGAAGAACCAGCAGCCAGCGAATCCGGAGGTGGAGGCTTTCTTGGCACAGCCTTTCAGATGCATTGGCGATGCGAATCGTGCTGGCCTTGTACCTTGAAGATGGTGCTTGCCGAGGTATCCTCAAATCCAGGTGCACTTGGTGCATCTTTGCAGTTTCTGGAGGGTGTGCTCTCTTCCCGTCTTTCTCGCGAGGCACATGCTGCAGCTCGGCTACGAGCACTGCCCAAAGAGGCTCAGACAAATGCCGATGCCTCAGGCAAAGGCGTGCCAATGTGTCGAACCCCCAAACCCTAAACCCTAAACCCCTAAACCCTGATACCCTGAACCCCTGAATCCATAATCCCTAAACCAGAGGTCCTGATGCGTGGTGGCCTGGGCAGTGCCCGTGATCCCACGGCAATGTTGCTGGGGAGGAGGGGCTGGTCTTTCTCAGCAGGGGCTCTGGGTTTAGGGTATAGGGTTGAGAGTTTGCTATCCTGACAGGATACGACAGGTCGATCCCTTCAACACCACCTGGGTGCCTCACACACCTGGTATGCAGCCGTTTCCAACGCAATCACAGCAGCTTAGCTGAAGTTCCTTCATTCCCAAGCGCCTGTTTGCATTGTTCTCTTTGTTCCAAGGGTGGCAGCCCAGCAAACGATGGTGGCTGCCTTGTTTGCATCTCTTGCAACTGACGCTTCGGCCGGGCAAGAGGCGAATGATTAAGGCCTCTACAAAGAAGGGGCATAGTTCGAATACGCCTCATAGAATCCCCGCTCTAAACCCTAGACCCTAGACCATCTCCCTTCTTGGTGCCCTTGAAGGGAATCCTATCATGGAAGCTTGTAGTACCCTTAACGGGAATCCTATTATAGAAGCCTATACTCTAGTACCCTTAAAGGGAATCCCACTATAGAAGCCTACAGTACCCTTCAAGAAACCCTTCAACGGAGCCCTTTAAAGGAACCCCCTA